GATTTCTCTGTATTGCTTTGGAGGCTGTCCTGGCACTTGCTCTGGAGACCAGGCTGGCCTCGAACTCACAGAGATTTGCCTGCCTCTGCCTCCCAAGTGCTGGGATTAAAGGCGTGCGCCACCAACGCCCAACTACACTGTAGGTTTTTCTACAGTGAACAAGCATTATTAAAATAATAATTCTTCTTCTCCTCCTCCTCCTCCTTTTTTGTTTTTGGTTTTTTGAGACAGGGTTTCTCTGTGGCTTTGGAGGCTGTCCTGGAACTAGCTCCTGTAGACCAGGAGTGAGTAGTTGAGTCACAGAGATCCACCTGCCTCTGGCTCCCAAGTACTGGTATTAAAGGTGTGCGCCACCACCGCCCCACTATTAAAATAACTTTAAATTCAGTATTTCTTTTGTTTATTATTGGTTTTGGCTGTTTTTTTTTCTTTTTAGAACAGGGTCTCACTATGCAGGCTTGGAAGTCAATGTGTAGACCAGGCTGGTCTTGAACTCAGAGAGCCGTCTATCTGCCTCTGTCTACCACTGTGCTCAGCCTTAAATTCTATATTCCCAAATTCTACATTCTCATGGAAGGAAAGGTAATTTACAGATAGAGTAAACAGTTAAGTATTTACTGTGTACCAATTATGTGCAGAGACTATGAAAAACTAAGAATGTGAACAAGTTGGGTGTGGGAGCCCTTGCCCACAGTCCCAGAGTTCAGGAGGCTGAAGGGAGAACAAGCTCAAATTTAAGGTCGGCCAAGGAATACCGCCAAGTCTCTTGTCTCAACAAAGCACCCTGAAAAAAACAAATATTACACACATATCTACAGAGAAAACAAATATTGCACACATACCTACAGAGGGCACCAGGGGCACAGACAGCAATAATAATACCTCAACTCAGGTGGTGATCTTCTCTCTCCTGAACTCTCTGAGTATGTAGTCACTCAATGCCCATGTTGTCCTGGTTTTGCTGTGTGCATATCCCTAGTGCATGCTGTAGTTGAGTCAGAGAGATGGCTCAGTGGTTAAGAGTACTAGGTGATCTTCCAGAGGACCCAGGTTCAATTCCCAGCACCCACATGTCAGCTTACAACTGTCTACAATTCCAGTTTCAGGATATCTGATGCCTCTGTGGGCACCAGGCATGAAAGTAGTACACATACGTGCATGCAGGGAAAACACCCCCACACACAAAATAAATCAGTATAAACAGCTAAAAATAAGAATATATCCTGTTCTTTGTAACTCACTATTATGATGGATTTGTACAAGTTTGTTTTGATCTTTTCTTTTTTTAGAGTTAGCATACAAAGTTTTGGATTTGCTAACAGAATTTTAAATGTCTGTATCATTACACTTCATTCTTGCTCATCCCCACCGCTCCTACCCCTTCCTGCTGGCCCCCTCTCCCCAAACAGTGCTCACAGCTGCTTTCAACATCTCGTGAATTCCATTTCTGTCTCTCAGCCCCACCTCTGCTAAGACTACCTTCTCCTTTCTCAGTCTTTTTGTATTCTAATTGCCGCAACACACACACACACACACACACACACACACACACACACAAATCTAGATTCTGCAAGAAAACCATGGCTTATTTAATTAGTGCAATGATCTCTACTTGCATTTATTTCTCTGAATTCATTCTTCTGACAAAAGACAAAATACTCATTTCACTCCCTTTTTTCTTTTCTTTCTTTCTTTGTTTCTTTTTTTTTGTTTGTTTTTGTTTTTTAGAGACAGGGTTTTTCTGTGTAGCTTTGGAGTCTGTCCTGGCACTCTCTTTATAGACCAGGCTGGTCTTGAACTCACAGAGATCCACCTGCCTCTACATCCACAGTGCTGAGATTAAAGGCGTGCACCACCACCACCTTATTTTACATAGTATTTTCAGATCATTACAGACCCTTACATTTAGTCTAAATTTAACAGGATTACCCAGGAGTTACTGTTAATAAACTGTTTCATCTCTACAGAGATTGTGCACACCTGGTAGGCACAACTTCCCACTAGGGCTTCATGCACAATTTTTCATGCTTCTCTTTTCCAAAAATGACCATTAGTCAAAGAAATCTATTTACAATTAGTAAAATGCTGTTAGAACCCGACAAAGATCAGAACTAGTCTCCAATATGCCAAATTCCATTACTATTTTGATGCGATTATAGTCTACTTTTAGTGTCAGGACAAACAAACAAACAAACCCCACAAAAACAAGCACAAACTGATAGGGCTTAGTTCTTAGTTCTTTACACAAATAAGAGTCAGTCTCTCTCTCTCTCTCTCTTTCTCTCTCTCTCTCTCTCTCTCTCTCTCTCTCTCTCTCTCTCTGTGTGTGTGTGTCTGTCCGTGTGTGTCTGTCCGCCCTTCCCCATCATGTAGAACGGCTGGCTGCTCTTTACCCACACTCACTTTCAAGACAGGGTTTCTCTGTGTAGCGTTGGAGCCTATCCTGGCACTTGCTCTGGAGAGCAGGCTGGCCTTGAACTCACAGAGATCCGCCTGCCTCTGCTTCCCGAGTGCTGGGATTAAAAGCATGCACCACCAACGCCCGACCACCCATTCCCTTTTTAAGTTTTCTTAGGAAATCATGATTTCATCAGTGAATGTTTTTTAATTATTGCACAAATAAATTCTGATGATTGACCTGTCTTCAGCCACACAAAGAACTGACTTCTTACCTTTCTCATCGTCTCCATCACAAACCTACTGGCTCACCTGTTTCCACCCTGACTGCTCTAAGTCACAAACAGCAGGAAGGAAGTGCATTTTCATGTCTTTAAATGTCTTTACCATCTACTACTCTGTATTCTAGAAAGTAAACTTGTATGTGTCCATTAGCAGAGTCAATAACAGGCCCCATCTGTATTACAAGAAAGAGTAGGCAAACTCTTGAGGCTGGATTTATTATCTACACTCTTAAAAAATACAAATTGCAAGTAACTTTAAAATTATGTGTTTAGGGCAGTGAGATGGCCTTGCTGAATCATCTCACTGGCCTAAACCCTTTGATCCCCAGAACCTACATGGTGGGAGAGAAGCAATTTTAAGAAGTGTCCTCTGACCTCCACATATGGGCACTCTCTCTCCCCCTCTCCGTCCCTCCCCCATTCTCCCTTCACACACTACACACTTCTGAATCACTGACTGAGCTCAAAGGCCACACACACTAACAGGGGCCAGCTAAGCTCCCTGTCCTCATCATCCATTTCATTGACCCTTCTCCCTGAGACCTAACACACAAATGACCTTTAGGGAAAACAGCCACTGGGTGAGCTACTGCGTACACACCCAGTGTGTGCTGGCTGCTAGTGAGTGCATGCTTCTGGCACCTTTACTACTACCTTCCACAATTTCTTCAGAGTCATCCACAAAAAACTCCTTTAAGGGGGGCCGTTTGGGTCTTTTCAGAGTGCTGAGAAGCTGCTGGATTTTTGTGGATACTCTGCTGTTGACAGGAACACCTGTAAGAGGAAAAATAATGGTAAACTAAGTTGTAGTTCACTGGGTTCAATAAATTATTTTATTTCCTCAATTATCTCAAAAGACTTTGCCTCTTTTTAAAAAACTTAACTATTAGGCTTTTTATTACCAATGAGACTTTTAAAGATTTAAATGCCTTGCTTATTGAAACTTTGTGATTTCTCTTTCTTACTCTTCTTTCCCTTCCTCCTTCCTCCCAGATTTTATTTCTAATGATGATTGGCCTTTTTTTGCCCACCTTACTCTATTTGAAAGGGACCAAATATACACATGACCAAGTTTATGACAATAGGGACAAACACAGTGCTGTGCAGAGTGCACAGCTGAAAGGTTTCCCCAGGGTTCCTCTTCTCCTGTAGTGCTCTTTTTTGTCCACACTTGGCTCATAGTACCTTTCATAAACACCAAGTGTGAAAAAGTGACAAGAGGGACTCTGTATGTTGACTATGACTGAGCCAACGGCAGTGTGTCTTTGCAGCTGGGACAACTGGGAGGAGCTGCTGGGTAGGATTTTAATTTTCCCAGTTTAACATACACTCCCTAACCTTACACGAAGGGACGCCATACCATCAGCCGTATCCATAAGGCTGGATCTGTTGGATCCTTTGTGCATGCCTTTAACTATGCCAGAAGGGGGCAGGTCAATGTTTGCTGGGCGAAGGGAGGAGGAGGAGGAAGAGGTAGTTGCAGTGACATCCGGAGGAGCCGAGACATTCTCTGAGGGGAAAAGACATAACTTAGAATCATATGGTATTAAAGCAAAAATAACCAAGTCTAAATCTTTTGCTTTAGAAGGAATAAAAATCATTAGTTCTTTTAAAACAAACATTAAAAAATATTTACTTATTATTATTATTATCGTGTATTGTGAGTTAGCTCTCTCCTTCTGTTGTAGGTCCCAAGGATGCCTGCAAGTGCTTTTATCTGTTGAGCCATCACACCAGCCCTAAAACAAACTTTTTAATCAAAGTCTACTAGCAACTTATTGGAGAGAAACAAAGGCAAACCAAAGCATATCAGCTTTCCAAAACAATAAATTACAGGATTTTGAGTAGTATTAATTATTAGATCAAATCACAATAGCCAATGTTTCTGAAAAGCATTATTTTCTATACAGAGTGGATAATACGAATCCAATGGTCTAAAAGTCATTTCAAAATGGAACCAAGTGAGTTAGTGCCCAATCTACCACTAGTTCTCTAGTTCTGTGAACACTTCTTTATGTCATGTTTTATCTAAGATGTTTCCCTTTCTACCCAAGCTCTAAATGGTAGCTTAGAGTGGGTCAGAGACCCATGTTCTCAGAGGAAGGAAAACAAGATAAAATCAACTTCTAATTTTGATGAAACAGACCATAGTTAAATTGGACCCATTCAGGCAAGGCTATCTCTTCCTCTAAATAGAGATTAGCCCACATATGCTCCTTAATGGAAAAGTTCTTTTGAGTTTTGTTTTTTGAGATCAGATCTCGTCAGCCAGATCAGCTAACCCTCCTGCTTCTACCTTCCAAGTGCTGGGATCACAGGTGCACACCATCTTGCTCAGTGTCCATGGAACGTAAAACTGCTGTGAGAAAGTGAGCCACCTAAGCTACAAGAAAGCTACTGAAAGAAGCTATACCACACACACACACACACACACACACACACACACACACACACACACACACACACACACACACAAATTAGAAAACACCTGAAGAAGGAAATTAGAGGATGCATACCATATGACACAAAAATAATGAAAATCCACTAAAGGGGAAATGTAATTTCTAAGATCAATGTAAGAGAAAAGTTTCTGTGTTTCAAAGGTCTACTACTATCAGTTTTAGAAATAATACTTTTTAAAGTTTGAAACATAACTGGTATGAGTCCAATGTGGTATAATGTGGCAAAAAAAAAAAAAAAAAAAGCATTAAGTCTGTTCTTTTTTGGATTTTCCTGTTTCAGCTCCCAAATGCTAGGACTGCAGGTGTGCTGCACAACCACACTCAGCTGCTGTTTGTTGTTTTAAGAAGGCATCCCTGCATGCTTGGCGGTGGTGGCGCACGCCTTTAGTCCCAGCACTCAGCAGGCAGAGGTAGGTGGATCTCTGTGAGTTCGAGGCCAGCCTGGTCTACAAGAGCGAGTTCTAGGACAGCCTCCAAAGCCAGAGAGAAACCCTGTCATGAAAAACAACAACAACAACAACAAATAATAATAATAATAATAAAATTAAAAAGAAGAAGGCATCCCTGCTAGGTTGCTTGGGTTGGCCTTAATCCTGCCTCAACCTTCCACTTGCTGGGACTGCAGGTGTGCACCACTGCACCCAATTAGAAATGTGTATTATGGGCTGGAGAGATGGCTCAGAGGTTAAGAGCAATGACTGCTCTTCCACAGGTCCTGAGTGCAATTCCCAGCAACCACATGGTGGCTCACAACCATCCGTTATGAGATCTGGTGCCCTCTTCTGGTGTGCAGATATACATGGAAGCAGAATGTTGTGTACATGATAAATAAATAAAATCTTTAAAAAAATAAATGTGTATTATATTGTATTTGACCCAGGATGTCCATCTAAGCAGTTTTGTAAGAGGATAGCACTGCACACTACTTCATTGTCCAAAATAAGAGAGTGGCTAAATAAACTAAGGCATAGAAAAATAGTAGTATACTTTAAAATCACAAGAAGAATAACGTAATTATAAATATTTAAAAGATGTTCAAGATAAATTGCTAAGAAAAGCAGGTGGTGACTTAATTACATTTAAGACAATTTACATTTTACAAAATCAAAGTCAAATCCCTACATGCTCTAAACTAAATCTAGACTGCATACCAAGACGGCAACACCAATGTGTAATCCATACAATCACAGTCTTTTCTCATCTTCAAGGCAGAGTCTCTCTGTATAGCCCGGGCTGTCTGGGAACTCACTATGGAAACAGGCAAGTCTTGAACTCAGAGATCTACCTCTGCTGCTTGCCTCTGCCTCCTGAATGCTGGGATTAAAGGCATGAGCCACCATACCCTGTAGATTATACTCTCTTTTAAGGAACAGGTATTACTTCCATAGGAGCTAACATCCCAAAGCAGCAATACTGGATTAGATGGTTTCTGCAACTAGAAAAATTAACAGAAAAATAGGAAGTCACATGAAATCATCTTAATAAAATCCAGACAATGTAAGGTAGGTATTTGGATTTCTTTCTCAAGTGAAAAAGTTTTCTTTTAGACATATTCATCAATAAATTCTCCTGGCCATGACTCTGCTGCTTGTTCTCTGTGACAGAGGGGTGGGAAACATGCCTGTCTATGTATGGCTGCCCTGGGGCTCAGTGACACAGAGTGGAGGGGAACATGCCTGTCTATGTATGGCTGCTCAGTGACACAGAGAAGGCCAAAGAGTGCAGGGTGGGACACCATGATGATGTATGGTTTTTTAATGTGGCAATTCTACCTACAAGGTCACTATCTTCATTAAAAAGTATAACCCTAAACTATAATTTTCCAGCCCTTTCTTTTCAGAAATCAAATTGAAATATTATATAAAGTGATACAGAAAGGATACTGAGATGACAATTAGATAATGAAATGTGACTGGTTGTCAAGAAAAAAGAGTAAGACATCAGACACAGTGCGAGGACATGACTTAGTGCAATTGGTGCCACCAAGTAGGTATAAAGTAGAGACCTGAGAAAAAACAAAAACAAAACTCACAAATACATAAAGCAGAGCCAAGCAACAGCTATACACCATACAATAGCACCAGCAGCAGCCAGCAGCTCGACGTGCCGACCCTCAGCCTGTATACTTCTCATGCAGCAACATCACCACAGCAAGCAACATAAATCCAGTCTTTAGGCTAAGGACAAAAAGGCCTTGTGGACAATGCTTAGTGTAGAATTTGCTCAGATTAAATATGTTATGTTTTGTGAAATATAGACAATATTTCTGGGAAATCTGATATAGGGGCCATTTCTCTTCTGGGATAAACCCATACTAAGACTGGTGTTATTTTGCAGCTTCAGTATTGCTTATGGAAATAGATATGGCTTCAGGTGAACAACATTTATATCAATAATGCTGGTGATACCTATGCAACAAATATAATGCTGGTGTTTCCTTCTCAGTCTCATGAACTGCTCTTTGTGATCATATTTTTTAGGCCACATTGAAAACCTAACACAATCATAAACTATTTCCAGGATACTGGGTGCCAAATGGAACATTAGGTGGGCTTCTTGGGTAGATCCAACTCCTACCTATTCGGGTATTGGCAAATACATCAGCTAGAGACCCACTGGTTCCTTTGACCTCTCCGTGGGACAGCGTAGAAGATGCGGATGAAGAGGTGGACGATCCCTGAATTGAGCGGTTGATCCAGGACTCAGCATTCTGCAAGCTTTGTTGCAAGGCAGCAGAGAGCGCAGCCTGGCGTCTCAGAGAGCCCTCATCCTCAGAGGCCGAAGACGTGTCTGTGTGAAATTAGAAAAAAAGAAGTCTCGATCCTGCCTTGAGCAGACTGTTCAGTTCTTGCTCATTGACTACACACCCATGTTGACACCAGAAAAACACTAGCATTCTCAAGTTAGGTTAACAGGTGACATTTCTTAAGATGTGAAAGAGAGATCTGTGAGCCACACCTCACAAAACAAAATGTTGACCTCAGAAGACCAGGTTAAACTTTAACAAAATGTTTTAAGAATTTAATTACTTTCCTGTTCTGAGACTAATAGATGTCTAAATTCTGGTTTGCCTACTTATTAGAGGCCTTTTGACGGGCGGCCACATGGGGTTTGGTGGGTATTTGTCTCTGCTTAAAAAGAGACACAGAGGCTGCTTCTGTTGAAAAGTTAGATGAGGGCTGGCTGATGGGACTCAAGCAGGGGGAGAAGCTGGGTGATGGAACTCAAGTCTGGGGAGAAACCCTTACCCTGGAGGTGCTGCTTGCTCTACTGGACGAGCTAGCTGGTCACAGGTGGGGTTTCCAAAGGCAGTCATAGAAGACTGAGAATTCCCTGGTGCCTTGACTGAGCCTGGCTCTGACTTCAGGAAGCAGGCATAATTGGAACAGCTTGTTGAAAAACAAAAGTCCAAGCACATACAGGGAAGCTTTGGGGAGAAGCTAGAGTTATCTCAGGCTAGAGTCTACAAGGCATTCAAGAACCACCATCTAACCTGGGAAAAACTTCTAAATGACACAGGTGGCTCTAACTAGTGATCTGTGGGATGAATGAACTCCTTTACTTGGTTCTTGTTTTTGCAGTGCCTTATACAGGCTGTATAAGTAACTACCAGGTCCCCAGTCCCACTAAGTTTTTTCTTTTTTAATGAAAAATGTCACCCTCAGTCAGCAGAATTTTTTTGCCTAATTCAGATATCTGTGGGTTTAAGACATGCAGTGATTCAAAGAATCAGAGAAATAAACAAGAGGGCAGGAAAACTGCTAACAATCCATGATGGAAAGTTGAACTACACAAAAACCCTACAGTAATCCAGAATCCAGAAGTCTAACCTATTAAGCCCAGAGCACCAAAGCGAAAGCAATGGCTACAACCTTTGCCTCTTGTTCAGGAAGACCAGCAATCCATTGCCTCACATAAAGGAAACCCACAGCCCAAGAAAGGTAATGGTTTGTAGGGAACTATTTGCTGGTAACTACATCAGGTCCTAGGGAGGCTGAGACATATGAATGCCTATGAGATAGTATGTGCCACAAAATAGTCGTTCGGTGTGGTACTGGCCATATACAAGCCCACAGAAGAACACAGCATGCTGTAAGAAATGGAACAAACCGAGAATGCTCTGGGTAGAGTACAGATCTCAGCCCAGGGTTTTAAGTACTTCAGTGTAAGTGCAGTACATTGTAAGGAAGTATGAGATGGGGCAGGGGGACAGACAGACACAGAGACAGACAGACAGGCAGATAGAGGCCCCAGAGACATCATGATAAAGAAGAGGGCTCCTAAAGGGAAAGGTGCATAATAAAACAAGGAATGGCAAAGGGAAATACAAAGAGTGGATTTAACAAAAACATTTTTTAAATAATTTCTAGAAAATACTATAAAAATTCAATTCTATCTTGAAAGGAAAAGATTCCGTAAACAAGCAGAATGCAGGGGTCAGGGAGGCAATGAAACTTGTGACTCTCACCATGAGAATAAAGTATTTTTTGGGTAACATCTCAAAATCCTACAAAGGCCTCTGGATTTACAAGCTGTCCCTACTGTGTCATTTTAATTTGTGTAAGTCTAAAACCAAAATAAATCAAATTTTACAGATAGTAAAACCAGTATTTTCATTATTGGATTTATGGAAAACTGACTGCATTATGTTTCTGTATTTGATCAATTATGAAATTAGGTGTAGTGTTTCAATTCAATTACCTGCTTTGCCTGCTAGCCCTCCTCTGGGTGTTTAATGCCTTACAGCTATGGAACAGCTTAGGCTAGGGGAAAACATGGGTGGCTTTGGTGTCTGTCTTCCATTTGAACTCTGAGGCCCACCACTTTCCTTGTAACTTGAGGTTAAAATGATTCATTGTGAAACCTGTCTGTCCATTCAACAAATATGACTCAGCACTATCCCAGTGGGTGGGATGAGATACTGAGTGAGGAGACAGCCCCGCCCTCACAGGGTTTGGAGCCTAGTGAGAGTACATGCATGCTCCTCTGCCCCGCAGGGTGAACACCATCAGGGTTAGCAAGTGAGAAGACACAGCAGGGATGGAAAACAAGGCACAGGTGAAGATATTAACAAAATGGAAAGCAGCTGAAGCACACAAAGCAAACCTGACAGAGGTAAAGGTACAAGTGAGGAGCACAAGGACGTGCAAGGAAATATGCCTCCCTATGGCCACTGTGAGGCCAGCACGGCTCACAGCTACCAGTGTCATGCCATACAGTACTGATAAAAAGGGTGTTCTGTCTTTCTGATCTGCCATAGTATCTGATAGTCTCCTTAACAACAATTTAAATAAGGCCCCGAAGAGATGGCTCAGCAGCTCAGAGCACTTACTTCTGTATCACAGACACCTACAACTCAACTGCAAGGGCTCTGATGGCCCTTGGGCCTCCATGGGCACTCACACACACAAATAATAAAATTCAACTTTTTTAAAGACAGAATAACTTGAATAGCCTATTTCTTCCTTAAAAATGAAAGCAGGAACTACAGAGATGGCTTAGCGGTTAAGATCTTCCAGGAGACCCAGGCTTGATTTCCAGCACCAATCTGGCAGCTCAAAAATGCTGGTAATTCCAGCTCCCGGAACTCCAGCATCCTTTTCTGGCTTCCATGAATGCCGAACACATATATGGTACATAGATATAGATGCAGACAAAACGTGCATATTCATAAAATAAAAATAGTGAATGAGAGTAAAGAGAACAGAAACCTGAAGGTTAGTAGTAGAAAAAAATAAAAACATTTGCTATGACGATCACCCAAGGAATGTGGCTGCTACAGGTCACGACTCATGTAAAATTCTCAGGAAATGTGCAATGCTAATCACTGCTCTGGGCCTGTTGAGTTTTCTTTCTTTTTCTCTCTTTTGAGACCAGATTTTTGCTATGAAGCTAAGGCTGGATTTGTACTAGAGGACTTCCTGATCCTGTCTCTGGGGGATGGGTTTGCAGCCATGGACCACCATACTTGCCTGAACCTACAATTTACAAAAAAAAAAACCCCGACTCTTAAAAAAAAAAAAAAAAAAAAAAAAAAAAATCAAAATGAGCTTTTTTAAATATTTTTTTTTAGTATTAAAAAATTGTCAACCAAGAATATTTGTAGGAATTTTGGCAAGATTTTAAAAAATTGTTTTTTGGTTTGGGGAATTTTTAATAATGTTGTTTATTTATTTGTTTGGGAGTGTGCGTGTGCCACAGTGCACTTATAGCAGTTGAAGAACAATGTGCAGGAGTTGGTTTTCTCCTTCCAATATGGGTCCTGGTACTGAGTTCAGTTGTCAGGCTTGGCAGCAAGTGCTGTTACCTGCTAAGCCATTTCACTGACCCAGATTTTTCGAGACAGGGTCTTGTTATGTAGTCCTGGATAGCTTGGCCTTGAACCTGTGACACTCAGTCCTCTTTTCTTTGCCTCCTGAGTGCTGGGATTACAGTCATGAGTCACTACCTAGAGCTCAAACTTACTGTGTTGTTGATGTTTGGTTCTAGGGGTTGAACCTAAGGCTTCATGCATGCTACGCAAACGCATTGCTACTGAGTTATGTCCACAGGCCAGAAAACAATTTTTAAACCAATGTTTCCTCTTTGTGGTGTAATGTGACTTAACATAGCATCATCTGATATTGTTTATCAGAAGCCTAGCATCTATTCCAGTAGTTCTCAACCTGGGGTCTCGACCCCAATAGTGTACCTCAAATATTTACATTAAAATTCGTAACAGTAGCAAAATTACAGTTACGAAGTAGCATCGTAATAATTTTATGGTTGGGGGTCACCACAACATGAAGAACTGTATTGAAGGTTCTCAGCATTGGGAAGGTTGAGATCCATTGCTCTACTTGGGTGTTTTGTTTTGTATTTTATTTTAGTTTTGGCTTTTCCAGACAAGGTCTCTCTGGATAGTCCTGACTGTCCTGGAACTCACTGAGATCCACCTGCCTCTGCCTCCCAAGCACTGGGTTTAAAAGCATGTGTCACCACTGCCTGGTTATCTTATTGTTTTTAAGGGAAGAAAAGTCCAAAGTTTACTGTTTTTCACTGCTATCACTTTAGTCATGTGTGAACTTTATATTTAAAATGCTTACTTTAAAAAAGTAAACACTTGGAGCTAAAGAGATGGCCCAACAGTTAAGGGCACTAGATGCTCTAAAGACCCAGGTTGGACTCTCAGCACTCACACAACAGTCCACAACTGTTTGCAACTCCAAGCTCCAGGAATCTACACAGCCACCCAGGAATAAACATCCATACACACAAAAATTCTGAACGCTTGTTGTATTAGCCATTCACTGTACTCCTGGGTCCTTTTCCAAGAAAAATCAAAGCAAGTACCTATACATGAATCTTTCTTGAAATAGCTTAAAATAGGAAACACCCCAAATGTACAAGTACCAACAAACGGATATGTAAACTAGTCTACCTATGGGGTGGAGCCTGACTCAGCCAAGGGCAATCTGCTGGGACAGATATAACACAAAGGAATCTCAAAATATTTAAGCTGAAAAACAGCCAAACCTTTCCTCCACTGTGAGAACAGACTACATGGCTGTTATATAAGCATCTAGAAAAATTCAAATTAATGTATAGAGATGGAGAGCATGTTAGTGGTTACCAGGGGCAGGGAAGATCAGGAGGAATTCAGGAGAAGACAGAGACGGTTATAATCTTAACTGTGTTTCTATGTCAAAACATGGTAAAATACATTCCCTAAATTATGTGCTGTTAGGCTGTAGCTATATCCCAGAGACAGAGTGCATGCTTAGGATGTGCAAGGTTCTGGGCTAAACCCT